ATGAAAGAAATCTTTGCAAATGTAACTGTACAAAATTTCCTCATGGCCCGGAAGCTACAACAAGAATCATCACATGACATTTAATGAAGATTACGCTGCTTAGCCGCAAAAATCGCGTGCCAGATCTGGCAGCGAGCGCCGTACATCGCGGCAGTGTTTATTAGACGCACTTCCAATAAAGAACTCACTGGAGCACGAGAGCAGCCGACACTTATTGATCAGCCGCAGCCCAACGAGTTAAATCGCGATTGCTTGCGAAAAAGTGCAAATAAACCCTGTTTTGCATGGAATCAAAGCGAGGGTTAAGTACTTAGATGCTCTGTAACTCAAATCAGTTGATTTAGTAATTTAGCTTTTTGCTTAATCCATGCTTTAGCCCAGCCCGCGGTGGCCACGATGAATTTCATTGCATGCCTATTTGACCCATAATGTTTTTTCTTGTTTCCGCTGCCTTTAGATCAACACAATCCTTAACTTATTTTGCTTCTTGCTAACTTATTATAACGCAGCATTTTTTTAACACATGCCAGAATAGTCATTTTCATCTGCTACTTCATCCTATTTCAACATAGCCTTAATTTCAGCTTTTCCCCTAACCCATATGAAGATAATCCTCTAATTCAACCTATACCGTTCTTGTTTTGCAGACACCGAAGCAGAATTTCAGGCTTTTGGACAGCCCAGCTAGGAAGCGAGTTGCAGTCCACCATTCGTGGCGCAATTTTTCGAGTTCTTTATTTCGGCGCAGCCTCAGGACGTATGTAAATAAGCTCGGAGACCACCAAAGCGCACTTCCTTGGCCCCCTACGACGCTTGGATTCCGTCCCAGATTCGCCATAAAAAAAGATATCACCACACTAACTGAGATAGCGAGTGTCCCACAATCTCGAATAGAAGTCAAGAATGGCATGTTAGCGCGCCGATCGCAGAGACTGGACTTCTCGGCATCCAAAACCTATACATAAAATTGTGTTTTGTAAGTTCTGACGATTAAAATAAATAAAAATTTGCATAAAAACTTTTTTATTCAACAAGAATAATTTAAGATTAAAATAACTTATATAAAATGTTGTGAGAAATTTTGCACTCAAAAGCTGTAAGTAGGAAATTTATGGACATTCCGATACCACTTAACTTGCAAACCAACCCACCAGACGATTCATGCCTGTGGCGTGAAGGAAAGAAGCTTAGCACATAGCGAGCGCAGGTGGAAAATTTAAAATTGTGAAAGATTAAAATATATTAGGATTTTAATTTACACTGACCAGCTACCGAAGACACGATACCGAACCATTATTATATTGTTGGTGTTCAGTCAGACCGCTGTTAGCAAGCAGAGTGTCGATCTGAAGCATGAGATGCCGAGGACGCGGACGCGTGGCGTCGAGCCAAGCCGACGTTTTGTCGCGTCCGTGCCGCGAGCAAGCTAGGGCTTAGGTTTTGTCGAGGTTTTAAGCCCAGTGTTGAGGCTTCAAGTCCAGTGCCGAGGATTAAAGTCCCGTGTCGAGGTTTTAAGTTCAGTGTCGAGGTTTCAAGTCCAGTGCCGAGGTTTCAAGTACAGTGCCGAGGTTTAAAGTCCCTTGTCGAGGTTTTAAGTCCGACGTCGTCCAGTATCGAGGTTTAGGTACAGTGTCGTGGTTTTAAGGCTTGGCGGGAGTTTTACGGGCCTCTTAACAACTTCCAGTCTCCGGTCATTCGGTCAAAAGAAGAAGGCTCTGCGCGCGAGGCAGAAGTTCATCTACAAGCAAAAGCTTGAGGCTCAGAACCTTGCGTTCACCAAGTATTATGAATGATAGAAGTGAATGTTGGATGAATGACGCTAAAGTTGCATCGTTCAATATCGCCGAATGTGTGGTGACAATGAAGAAACGCACAGCGTCGGGTGCTTTGATGAAGTAGTGAATCGTACATATGAAGGACTAACAAGTCTACCACGCACATTATGGCTGTAGGCTTGTAGCTTTGATGAAGTAGTTTTATCGAGACTATGACAGACTAATTATATATATAGACTACATTATGGCTTTACGAAACATCATCGCAGAATGACTGCATGAGAAGAACAGCATAACGACTGCGAGTAAAAAATGGAACCATCAGGTTCACAATAATGCAATTAAAAATTACTCTTCTAAGTAATCTTAAAATTTTCTTAATGCTCAGACAACACATGAACGGAAGAAAAGAGTTGACATGATGAGAAAATAACAAGATAGATGGATCAGAATTAGCTCGGACTGAACAAACCAAGATAAAAATACAAGTCTACCAAGATTTAAGCAGTGATCGAAGACTAAAAAAAATCGCAGTAAGTTCCGGGATAATCGTGATTGACTGCTACATTTATTATGAAACAAATATTACATCATCATTATTCCACCATATTTCCATAATCATTCTAAATGTATTTACAACGTATTACTTTGTATAATCAGCAATGTATTTACAACGGGTAAATGAACTCTGCATTAAAAAACTCGCTTTACACAGCCTGGACACTCGTCCATTAAAACTGATTCAAAGAGTATACATTTACTTCCATTTCGTCTGACAGAAAAAGTACAGTAAAATAATCGTGCTCAGCAAGAACTATACGAGTATGCGGTACAAGAGGAAAAACCGCGTTGCTTTAGCAGCGCTCGTCGCAGGAAGGACACGCAAGAAGATCTTTTCTTAGCATCACTAACGCTGCATGGAAGCAGAAATAAGGAGCGTCAAGAGCAAGGGTTTGGCATGCCAGACTCCAAGTAACCAAGTGATTCCCTTTAAACTCTTCTGGCATCGCAGCGGCATGAGATCCGGCCTTCCTGGACCACAACGCTGGAGCTAAGCTCTCCCAGCTGATGCTGGCGCCAAGCTCTCCCAGCTGATGCTGGCGCCAAGCTCTCCCAGCTGATGCTGGCGCCACTCTCCCAGCTGATACAGAGTTCGGCAATATAATGGGCAAGATGGTTCAAATACCAAATCAGCACTGATCTGTAAGTGATTAACATATTCAAAAAAATTGCACAATTTGATGGAGAAAAGTGTTATATGGCAATGATTGGGTCGTTGATGATAATAATTGTCTCTAAGATAACAATAATATCGCGCTTAAATATGAATTTTGGGGTTCACTTGATGTTATTTGATGACTATGCATTTATACAGACATTAGCAAGGCATAATGTACAATTCTTTACTTGTGATAATTTTCCTGGCATTTTTTTATCTAATATCGTACGAAGACAACGAGCATAAGTGTTGAATAAAGCACCTACGAGTAATAAATCTTGACTGTTGACAAATGCTTCACAACTAATTGATGATATGTACCCGGCCGCTCTTGAAGTTCTAACGCCACTGCATGTCCACTGAAAAATTTAGTCGAAACATTTTGGCCTACCAAATAGTTGCTTTAGTCTGAAGAAATTGAATAGTCAGCCGCCGACGCGACACAGACATTTGTTTTTGATGTTTTTGATAAAGCGAAAACAATTGTCTCGAAAAAACGCAATCACCGAAATTAACATGAATGAGAAAGCTTAGCTTGGCTTAGCTTTATCCCTATTAAGTTTCAACCAAATAGGTTACCGCAAAATTCCCGCTATGTTGCAATGAGGCATTTTAAAAATATTATCCCATAATTTTGGAGACTCAAAAATAGCGGTTTCTAAAAATTTCACGGCCGTGCGGACCAAAACTGAATTTTGCAATACGTCAGCAAACGGTGCGTTTTTCCTTTTTCCGCTTAATTAGCATTTCACTTGTTGAAGAACATAATTGATAACTTCTTCGAAAACGTATCGCGGTGACGGGAACTCGTCTCAAAATCTTGCATTGCGGTTAACTACTCCGAAAGTTTGCGGCATCACGGAAATTTTCTACCAAAATTGCAGCATCATGGAAGCGAAGTCGAAACGATTTGGCTGCACTTGAATAAGTCGCAAGGATGGTCATGCAGAGCATTCGGACTCGCGTCACGTATGGACACGGCGAGATAAGAGACGTATAAAGGTAGGTGCTGAGACCGGGCAACGCTAGCGGGGTGCATGCGCTTCATTGTGCATTCAAAACACGGCGAATGGTATAGCCAGAAACACCACGAATATGACTCCTGTAACGATCTCTTGGTGCTCTCAAAAACAAAGCCTCTGACACTAGCGGTCCACAAGAAACCTTACGGTTTTTGCGCAGCGCTTCGAGGCTTCGTTCAAGTTTATATTCTTACCGTATGACTGGGCCAGAGCGTGAAGCTCTGAATAGTTAACGCAGTATGAGCGCTGCGTCTCAGTTGTATTCACAAACCCCTAGGAGTACAGCATACCATCTACTTTACATTCAAAATTTCATTTACTGTAGCGTGAGTTAACCAGGGAAAAATTAGAATCTAACCGTCTACTTTAGTATATATTGCAAGCCTAGACACTTACTACCTACCTAATTGCTCAATCAAGCAAAAAATCCTCAGAAAATGCGATTTTTCAAACTCAACAACTTGAAGACAAAATATCGACAAGTTCAAACATCGCGGGGGTTGCGGTAGACCAGCCAAGGCAGCGATGTATCGACTAGTCTTCAGTATCGACGGAAAAGTTGGACGCTTGTCAGGTTGTTTTTTTGGGCTCCTCATTCTTCGCCGTCGTCGTTTTGTGGGAGAAGCAAAAGTTGCAAACTGAGGATCTGCACTCGGCAGCAACTGTGCAGTTGTCATACGTTTTTCTTAACACAGAAATGAAGTAACAATATAACTACAAATTCGTGTAGCCGAAAGTATACCCCAAGTATTTTTATATGAAGCAAGTCCACAACATAAAGTCGCTCTACGCAATCAAGCGTCGCTACCACTTTGTCCCACAAACCATCCAGTCCACATCCAAGTCCTCATTTATTCCTCGACGACTTATCTAGTAGTAAAACTCGATTCCTTATCGAATGAATGACACTAAACGGAAAGATCTTCTCACCATAAAATCCTTTTCAGAAGTCGAGTCTCCGTACAGAATCAGTCCTTCTAATACATGAATTTTCCGCATATTATCAAGTACCTTAACAACATCAAGTCCCCTTACACCACCAAGTCCCCTTACACCACCAAGTCCCCTCACACCACCAAGTCCCCTTACACCACCAAGTCCCCTTACACCACCAAGTCCCTTCACACCACCAAGTCCCCTCATACCATCAAGTCCCCTCACACCATCAAGTCCCCTCACAACCCCAAGTCCCCTCACAACCCCAAGTCCTCTCACACCACCAAGTCCTCTCACACCACCAAGTCCTCTCACACCACCAAGTCCTCTCACACCACCAAGTCCTCTCACACCACCAAGTCCTCTCACTCACACCACCAAGTCCCCTCACACCACCAAGTCCCCTCACACCACCAAGTCCCCTCACACCACCAAGTCCCCACCCGACGCACCGAACAAGTGTCAAACACGCTGCGCTGCTCCATAAAAGCGCCCAAAAGCAAATTGAAAAAGTTCCTGCACTTGAGAACTTGCCCGGGAATATGACGGAAGCTACGGTGCCGGTTATGAGGCGGCTCGCACCGCCGGCTCGAACACAACACCCGACCTTCCATCAAACCGCGGTTCATTACACATGTTAACCCGCTCATGAGTGAACCACTGAACCGGCTCATGAGTGAACCACTGAACCCGCACACCTAAAGTTAACCCCCGTATCATTATTAGAGTTTACTGGTCTCACAATTGAAGTTAACCCTCAGTTCATTATTCAGCGTCTTCGTCATTCAGAGGGGAGCCAAATTTTTGCAACTGTGAAGACAAGGAATTATTAAGGCATTACATCCATTGTGTCTGAAGAAAAATGTTCATTATTGAACATATGGAAAGCTTTATTTGGATGGCATGTTTATGATGGTATTGGTTTCTTGTTATCTGCAATCGATTTTTTCGGTCGCTTCTTTTCATGCGAATGTTATAAAAGTAAATGAGTCAGTTTTAAAATGCAAATGAGTAAATTTGTTATGCGTTACCTGTACGCGTAACACGCAGATTTTAGTGTTTAGACGCAAATTACTATTTTAGTCGAGAAAATGCGAGCTAGAAGAATATGAAAAAAACAGAAATCCTAAGGGACCAGCGGACGCGGGAATTGACTGCACTCAGCCCTCGATGAGATGCGAGGATACGTCAAGTTTTCCTGAGTAATTAAGAGCAAAAACTTGACGGAAGTTTTGAGAAAAAACAGGCTCAAACTGTTAAATTGTCCAGAAGCACATAGCGCTAAAAAAACTGTTAAAAAATGAAATGTTAAAAATATAAACTGATAAAAATGCACAAAATAACACAAGCGATAATCTGTTTTAAAATGCACCAAATTTTAAAATGGGGGTGCTAATTTTAAGAGAGCACAACTGTTTTTCTTTAGATTAAACGGCCAACTCTTAGCTCGTGTGACAAAAATGCCGAAAGCTAGACGCGTTGTTTTAGATAAAATGGAATAAACTGACAAATTTCCTGTTCATGTCGACGGCGAAGAGTAAATCTCGAAAAAATTTAATAAACTGTTAACTATTGCTATACCGAACAAGGTATAAATACGTGTAGTGCATAAAAAATTTCAAAGTTCTTTTAGCCGACTGAATAAGCATTTTAATTTGCAGAATCATATCTCGCGCTTCATAGGTGAATCCCAGAAAAATAGCAAGGGTTCTGCCTCTATAAAAATAACTGCCTCACTGCTTACGGGCTATGAATTGGCCACACATAATCTGGTAATAGAGGCGGAGCAAAATATAGTTTCAATAAATAATTGAACAATCTTAAAGACTTCAGCTGGCTTCATCTTAGAGGCGAGCTAAATCAAGCGGCATCATAACCGAGTCAACATCTAAAGTAGTAATCCAGTAGTGGCCTTGATTGGGTAAGGGACTCAAAATTTGGAGCCTCCCCAGCTACTGATTACCCGATTCAGAAGCTGCCGCGTCACGGGTCAAAGATGCGTCACTCACTCATGACCCTTTTGAGCGACCGTGTACCACCAGTAGCCAAGTGAGTCAGTCAGCGTCAGTTAGCAGGAGCGTCAGTAAGTTGTTGACAGATCACTCGACGCGTCAGCATCAGCCAAACACTACAGGGCGGCCCATTACGCTGATAACACCTATAGCCCCCGCGTGCTCCTCGGTGTGTACAACACCATAACACCAGCCCCTGCTCTCACCGCCTACACTCAGGCAAATGAGTGTGACTTTGTCCTAGTAGCGATGTACTTTCTTCTCGTGTGGATTAGCCTTAACAAGATTGGCCTGATTAAAGAGTAATACCTGCCTTGCACCCTCACCCCACCTGCCTGACACCCTCACTCCACCTGTCTGGCACCCTCACCCCACCTGCCTGACACCCTCACTCCACCTGCCTGGCACCCTCACTCCACCTGCCTGGCACCCTCACTCCACCTGCCTGGCACCCTCACTCCACCTGCCTGGCACCCTCACTCCACCTGCCTGGCACCCTAACCCCACCTGCCTGGCACTCTCACCCCACCTGCCCGGCACCCTCACTCCACCTGCCTGGCACCCTCACCCCACCTGCCTGGCACCCTCACCCCACCTGCCTGGCACCCTCACCCCACCTGCCTGGCACCCTAACCCCACCTGCCTGGCACTCTCACCCCACCTGCCTGGCACCCTCACCCCACCTGCCTGGCACCCCGCTAAGCATTACAACTAACCCAGAAAAAGCCGACGCTAAATCGGACAGTTTTTTCAGTAGGGGTCGTCATGTCAGGAGGCGTATCCAGGATACTGGCAGCGAACCACAAGCGTATATAACTGAGCGGCCATAATATTATATTGTATTGTTTTATTGTGTATTATTTTAACACTGAGCAGCATTAATATTGAAGTCGAGCGCACTACGGACAAATAAAAGAAAAGCTCGCAGAAAAGTGCAGCCATTCTTATGATGGCACGTGGCTCGGTCGCCTGATATGTATTGACTGTCATACTAAGACTTACAATATTACAAAGAATTCATCTCCAGGCAATTAAATTAATGAATGATATTCATAGAAATTGCAGTTCAATGTAACGATAACATAAATTAGATAAGGCACTTGATTCTTTCTGAGCAAGTATAGTTGGAGTTAAAAATAATATTTTTTGACAAATCACCGAACACATCACAATGAGGAACAAATTAGACCATTCATTACAGCAACAAAATACTAAAAGAACCCGGTTATTTAAATAAAATTTTAAAAACTGAGGGCAAGCTAGCTTATTATTTACAGACAAGAAATCCTAATAAATTTGGTACGAAATCGAACCCAAGTTGAATAAATGTTAAATCATTGAGGGCGCCCCAGCAAAGACTCGACTGCATAGCAAACGCGCCGAGCTTCTGGAACACAGCCAAGTGCAGCGTGCGGTGGAGACGTGCTGTGCAGCTGCAGTGCAGCTGTACTGGCTGCACTGTAGCTGTGCTGGCTGCACTGCAGCTGTGCTGGCTGCACTGCAGCTGTGCTGGCTGCACTGCAGCTGTGCTGGCTGCACTGCAGCTGTGCTGCTTGCTCTGCAGCTGTGCTGGCTGCCCTGCAGCTGTGCTGCTTGCTCTGCAGCTGTGCTGGCTGCACTGTAGCTGTGCTGGCTGCCCTGCAGCTGTGTGCTACTACATTATTGCAGCTGTTTAGGTTGCAATGGAGCGGCACAGACCACTACAGTGGCAGTAGCTGTGTAACTGTAGCTGAAGTGAATTGATGAGCAGGTTAAAGCACAGTCAGAAACAAACTCACAGTCGGTGTCATCACCGGCGAGGCTCACAGTCCACTGATGAAGCTCCCATACTTTGTCGTTTATATCATTTTAGCGGAAGTGCAACTCAGGACTTTATATATATATATATATAATTGCCGATGGCATCAGGTTTGACGTGACAGCAAAAATTTAAGAGAAATTGAGGGGTCATTTAGCCCACCATCGACATTCACGGCCAGCGATGAGGTGGGCATAATTTCCAGAGAGGATACAGTGAAAATTAATTTTTCATATTTTCCAAAGAGTGATATATTTTCTTACCATGAGCAATTGATCAGAGAACGAACGTAGCACTGATACGCCATTTTGCCGCGTCAAACTGAGTCATTATAACCCACAAAATATGAACAAGTGCATCGCTATTTGGACAAGATGTCAGTCATTTAACTGAGTGCACGAATATGCGTGTGACGGTGGTGTAGGTGGCCATTGGTAGTCAGGACGGCGATGCTGCGGCTACGCGTGAATAGGCCGGGTTGCATTCAAGGCTAAACTGATTAATTAGCGGGCGCAGCGCCCCCCCACAAGGGGGACCCCGCGAGGGCAGGGGGCGGGGTGTGCTCCCAGCAGTCGAATATTCTAATGCACCGCTGCGCCGCGGAAATTTAAAATAGAGCCTCCGCAGTGAATAGCCTTAATGGTTGTTGTGCTTAATTAGCGCGCCTTTATACACACGCATTAGTGAACACGAGTATTTGTCTTCGCTGACGGCCCATGTGTCCGTATCTACGCTAAGCTCCACCTACGAGTTATGATGAATTATACTTTAGCAACCTTAGGAACACAGATTCAGTTTTTTGTTCATTTTCATTCAAGCTGTTCAAAATTTAACGATGTCAATTGATGCCCTGATTAAAACTGGTTTCATGCTGGCTTGAAATGCGAAGATTTGTATAAATCCTCAGCCACGACTTTTTCATGAACGTCCATAATATCATGTCCATGAGTATGTGTGAACGATTTTCCATCCACGATGGCTGATATGTCCGCGGTCACGACAACGTGCAGCGTTTGATCGCCCACCCATCGATAAAATTCAGGTTTTGAGGCGACTAGAGCGTCGGAATATCAGAGTCGTGAATGTGTAGCGCCAACGACTAGGGTCGGAATATCAGAGTCGTGAATGTGTAGCGCCAACGACTAGGGTCGGAATCTCAGAGTCGTGAATATAAACGGCTGAGCTAACTCATTAGGTACGCTATTCGGAGTGGTCAGTACAGGACGTCGGTGCGCAACATTCCGACATAGAATTAAATTCCCGCGCAGACCGGAAGTCAAACAGGATATCCATTTGCAGGCCGTAGCAATATTGTGCTCCTGCGTTCTGAATAAAATCACAGGGACTTGCAATAGAACGCTCATCTCTTTATAATAATTTTATTTGCAAATTGATGACAGTGAGGGAAGTATTAATTATTTATTTATATTGTACATTAATTACGATGAGTTCTAGGGGACAGATATCAGCTCATAATCTTCAACCTTACGAGGATCTTATTGAGAGCACATACTTTATTTTCTATTTTTAACTTTTATTTTTCATGAGAAAAAACAAAATGTTATCAACCCTTAGAAAACAATTACCTGTTGCTCATCTAATATGCCGACTAGCAGTAACTTCAACATAAAAAGCTTTAGTCTTTCAAATGATACAGAGAAGTACTTACGTTTGTTTAATTGAGACTACGTGATTCAATTAACATATAGAAACTCGCACAAAAATTTGGACTAAGAGTACTCATTATAAAATTGCATTTATAAACAAATATCTCTGTAACCTAAACGAGGTTCATATGATGCAAAAAAAAAACTGCGGACGAATAATCGCCGATGACAATCAACGGAATGCATTTCCATACTCAGTACATGAGTGACACTCGCTCGTACGTGCGAGAACGCATGTCAACACGATCCCTGCTACGATCAGCGTGAGAGTTCGTAGAAATAACGCAGGCAGTATTTAGGTGACACTCTCCTGTGACATCAAAACCTCATCGCTGCTACACCAGGGCCGGTACACCTCGTCTATTGCGAGAGGCTTTTGGGACGCAGTCGAAAGAAAAGTACTTTCAATAATTTAATTTATTACTTTTAGCAATTTGAGAGTGCTTCTAGTCCGGTATTTTTTCCTAATCTGGAATTGTTGCGCAGTTATCGTAAGTATGTATGCTAAGAACACAGTCCGCAAGACTTTTTGAAATCAGTTCAGTATGGCTTAACGTCGTACAGTACCGAGCGTCCAGTCAGTTAAGCAATCCTATTACAGGCCTCGACGGCCCTTATATAATTGTGCTGCCTTTATCAGATGATTTATCAACCGACTTGAATACAGTTATTGGAAAGCGCAATTATTCATTAGGTGTTGGATTAACGCGTAATAGTCATTTGATATATTTTTAGGTCATGTTGTTTTCAACATGTGCAATCTCAGATATCTGTCGTCTGTGAAAACCACGTGACCAGATATTGTGCGAGCATCATACCGCAGGGGCTTATTTTTGACACTATGACAGAAATAATCTAATCAAAGTGATAATGTTGGTCGCAACACTCCGGTTGGCAATTAGGATGCATAATAATCGTTCCCAAGTTAAAATTTTCACTTTTGTAAGATCTTGCTCAGTATAAATGTTACCATGTATTAATCATATTTGAAACTGGCACCTCTTAATACTAATCAGTTAGACGAACTCAATGACACAGAACAAACTTGATTGCAGTCTGTAGAATGGAAATTACGATAATTTTCGAACAATCCCAAATGACCAGGAACAATTACGAATTGAAGGATGTAGTAGGACAACTGTCAGAATAATACTGGAAAGGACTGAGGACGCGCGCTTGATGTATCCTCGAGCAGGACAACTTGTTAGCAGAGGAAGCCGAGGCTCTCGAGTCCCGACAAAAGGAGTCGACCCAGCCAGCATCAAGTGACCGATGGGCTGGCGCAGCAAGAGGGAAAAGTGGGCAGGAAGCAAAGAAGGGGAGCGACATGCCGGCTCATAGATCACCACCGCCCCACACACTCAGACATGAACTCTCCTCTAGCGTGAGTGCGGGACAAATCAATGAAATAGAACGGAAAAAATATTAGCCGGTACTGCTAACCACTGGCTAGTGGCGGTTAAGATAACAGGTGAAATAAGCAGCAAATGGAGATATAAGAAGAAAGCAAAGGCCCTGGAACAGTGTATACAGAAGAAAAAAGACACTACGGGAAGCAGAAATAACACCGACGAGAGGAACATTTAAATCAAGTAAATTTTAGTTTTTTGCGCCGGCTCTGCAGTGCGACAGGAAACCTATGATACACCTGACAATGAACAGCATCATAAATTATGAAAGTAATTCCAACGCAAACTGCGAAATTAAGAGTTTGTGTTCCGCGTTCCTGATTGAGTTACGAAGAAGGCCCGCTTGCTGCTCTTCACTGCATGGAGTAAATTGTCGTAGTTGGGAATAATGCGCGGATGCTGCAGCGAGCTTGGCAAGAACAAGCACTGCCATAAAAGCCTCTCCATAAATCAAAAACCTGTAAAAATGCCATCAAACATAAAAGCCAGGACCGAGCCGGTGTCCTGGCTGAGCCAGCGGACAGGAAAAGGCCCCAAAAACAATCTTGCGGCACGGAAGAAAAGCCTTAAAATTTACGAATGTGACACACGCGACTCGGGAACTTGGAGTGACGTCTCGTGGCCGCTTAAACCTTTATTGAAGCGAACTTCATCTCGACTAAAACGCCTCCCAACGCCGCAGGGATTAGTGCCGACCAAGAATATGCTGGACATTTTGGTGGCGCTTTGGCTAGAATATTATGGCGATAAACCGCGCTTAGGATCAGGACATTGTCGTGTTCTAGCTATACGAATATTTATTTAAGTGAACTTGACTGCACAACGACTGCAGTCGTTTATA